GCATATTTCTGCTGTTTTTTCAAATCCAAGAGATGACAGGGAGCAAGGGCAGGACCCTATAAATCCCTCTTAATTCTCTTGCTATACTTTATTCTGGCATTGGTCAAATCACAAGGTCAGACCAGTTTAGCCATTTTCCCCCACTTTGACTCAACTCAATGTAGATGTTTCCCTGCTCTGACAGGTGCTTCATCGTTAATGAAAGACCGCTACTAATGTTCTAAAATGTCAAAAAGAGGACAAATATATCAAGCAGCTGACAACGTGCTGTAATAACAGGCTACTGGAGTGGAAATGGTGTGATTGGCTGTGTGTGAAGAGGAACATGAAGGACGATAATTGTGTTACTGCTGCCGGAGTGTCGCCAAAACCCGAACACGTATTGCTACATTGTTCCCATGAGTTTATGTTGCACAGCCACTAATGTACATTATTAAAAATGACAAGAGCTTTGTTGGTTCAATTTATGACACATCAGTGTTGAGGCATTCATAAACACAATCAGGCGCATTGCATTCACACACGAACTCACAAACACTGGAGGAAAAATTGCTGTGGCCCCAATGAATCTTTCTGATGTTAATCAAGAGCCATAAAACTTTAACAAACATCTGTACAGCCTTCGTAAACAGCACCGAGGCAAATTTCTTTTCCTGTCAGTGATGACAGGAGACAGATGACTTCAATGCAGTCCCTCCAACTCACAGTAACCCAGTTCTATTTGACTTTGAAGGCTGCATTGGCCACACGTGGGCAAGAGAGCCAAAAAAAGAGTTACTATATATAATGGGCTGCAGTCTGTAACATGAAAACCAGAAAGAGAAGATTTGCAGCTGTTGTGTTCCTCTTGTTATTGTTTAGACTCCACTGCTCTCCCTTTCTGCCATACCATCACTCCTCTTACATTACTCCAGATTTCACTTCCGCTAATGTCAGTCAGGCTTTAAATAGCATTTGTACCTTTCGTATAATGCTCCCTGTCCTGCACAGCGCTGGCAAGAAACATACGGGCTGTACAGCCCCACTGTGTGTTTGTAGAGCAGAAGCATCAATGTTTGAAGTGATCTTAGCAGCTCTGTGGCTCCCTGGCTGCTTTGATCTCATCTCTCTGTGTAGTAGCATTAGACTACAGGGTCTGCTAAGTAACACTAGTATCTGAAATGTACACTAGACTATTAGTCATCAAATCGTAAGTGTGGGCAGATCTTTGGAGGTCTGAAATGACTGAAACAACAACAAATGTCAAAGAAAACACATAATATAATATAATAATGACAAAAAATGTGCATCTTTCACATCAGTGTATCTGTGAAGATACTGTATAAACAACAGAATGATGCTGTTCTCTTTGGGCAAACTACACTACAAGACCATTTTTAAATTTGTGTATTCTAAAGCATTAAAATACCTGTATATCCAATTATCATATTCTAATCCTCTGTGTACAGAGTGTTCCCTTTCATGATTTCTGTTTTCACCTTGCCACATCTAATATTTACCCCAACAATCTTCTCTCATCTCTCTTTCCTTTCCTGTCCCTTCATCTCGCTGTCAAATGCACAAAAACACACCCAGTCACTTTCTCTCTCATCACCTTCCTTCTCCTCTCTCTGTCATCAGTGGCCAGACAAGGTCAGAGCTTTTTATTTTTAGTCGTCCAATAACAAAACAGCCTATGCTGCCCGACATGGAAAGACACTTCAACAAGCGTCCATCCCCGGGGCCCTGCAGCATTTAAACAGAGAATGGCTGCCTCTCCCGAGACATCCTCACAATCCTCATCACATCACTGCCGCCACGGCTAGAATAGCCACAGTTACACAGACAACACAGCATTAACCTGAAACATACTGTTTAAAATAATAAGTAGCAACTTCCCTTGGGAGGAAAAGGAACAATATCCCTGCTGCTTCACACTTAGATCAAATTCAGACTTGTCTGTCACATTTGGCAAATACCAGTGTGAAGATGTTAAGCCAAGCAGGCACAATCTTATTTTTGATTTGCATATGTGGAAACCAGATAAGTAAAGAAAGAATAGATGAGCTGAGGAATTATCCATTTTAAATACATACACTTTAGTTTTTTTGTACAACCAAATGCAACACTATGAAAGCCTTTGAGGAAAAGCTACCCACAAGCATGAATGAGCGTTGTGTATTGCCCTTTTTTAACATCAAATTTTTATTCAAATTTAGTGCAAATTTTAATTTAAATTCTAGAAAATTTGCAAAAAAGCAAATAATGTGCATTTCCATCGGTACCATTATGCAAATGTGACAGTTTGGAGGCACTGATTCTCCAGTCATGTGCCATTAAATCATTACAGTAGAAGCGAATACAAGAAGATGGCAGTATAAAAAGAGAGCCAGTAAATCCTGAAACAAAATGTGATGGAAATATGGCTTTTATGTTTCACACTGGATAATTCACAATGTTTCATGTTATTAATCTGAGGAAGCTCACAGGTGACTCACTCTTCTAGTATTTCTTGTTGGCCTCGGGGCCTCACCGGACATTGAGGCCTCACGCTTCATTTACATCATGCTATTCTTGCCAAGTATGTTTCCAGCGCACTTTGTTGCAGTTTGGTTTTATTCATATGCCAACCTTTCCACCACAGACATTTGGAAAAAAAAGATTTTCAGTGTTTTGAAATGGTTTGCAATGCAGTTTGTTTAAATGCTCAAACTGAAAATGCTTACTAAAATGAATGGATGAAACACATTCAGTAGTGGGCACTCCACCTTCATGTGTGTAGGTGAAAGCTACAAAACCTCTTGCCTTCAGACACGGTTGGAGGACACATGATGCAAACTTATTTATTCAAACTTAATGCTATGACATCAAGTACAGATTTTACAGTTGGCATAACTGTGTCTATATACAGCTAATTATGTGCACGGCTGAAAGCTTGCCTTGAACTTCACCACTTTTTATTCCTCTCAGCAACACAACTGTAGCTCAGAAATTATATTAGCCTAAATTCATTTTGCTGTGGAAATGCATCACTTCCAATTGTTTTTGTTGCTGATCTGTAGAATTTTAAACAGCTATAATAAGGTTATGTTTGTGAAACTCAAGTTTTTGTGTTATATTTGAGCATTAAGATGCATGATCATGATGTTACGAGTACAAAGTATGTGTTGAGCTCAGAGAAGTAGTATTGGTGGTTAAAGTTAGGCTTTGGGAATAAGGGACTCAATATAGACAGTGGAGAATTCTCAGTATGACAGCAATACAAAGAGCATGTGTGGCTTTTTATATTCAAGTCCAAACAAGTGCAAATGGACCTGTGGTCTCCGGCTCATACATTTCCACAGTCCGTCTCAAATTTATACAGTATCAAACAGTACTGGTCAGGGAGGAAAGCACAATTAAAATTAGAAACACCATGTCTATTCCCAAAAAAGCTTTAGAGGTAATGGAAGCGGTGGAGTTGTATGTCCAAGTAAACATGGGATTTTCCCCATCGATGATTTCGTTCATATTGCACTTGTCAAGGGATTATTTTGTCTCTTAGCCCTACCCCATGAGCCATGAGCTGAGAAAATCCTTCATATTCCACACAATCTGCTGCAACTCATCCTTACTTGAACTTCAAATAATACCTCCATCAACAGCTGAATCAGACAACTTAGACAAACAGCCCATAGCCAGTTGTCTGGGACTACAGCCAGACACTGTTAAACACTTCTCTCTTTCTCCTGCATTCCATAACAACTGAAAAGACCTGACAAATTCACCACAATATTTCCAAGACCTATCCAGCTGCCTCAATCAATTGATTGTGTCGAGGAGAAGAGGTTGTTGGAAAATCTCCCATTTTACAAGTGTTGAAGTTATTTTGAACAAACCAGCAAATAGAGTGAGGAATGTTTCGGAATATTCATAGCCTTTGTATTTTCTTTATTGTGCCAATGGCAAGACAGCAGCTAAATATGTTTTGCACTTTTCCTATTAAAAGCATTTCACTGAACACAGAAGTAGCAATTCCCCACAGCCTGTCCTTTCCAAGTACAGTACTAAAGTTAGAATCCATTAGCAAACAATTTACATCTATCTGTATATGCAACAAAACCTCGATTCTCTGCCCCTGCAAAGCAAAGGATCAGTTTCAGTGAGCTCGCGTTTTCTGGCAGGGGAGTGTGGGGAGCTCTTAACCACTTAAGCCTCATCCAAGATGTTAAGATAGAGAAAGAGACAAGAGTCAGCTGCTGAAAGATTAATAAATGCAGCTGAAAAGCAGGATAGAAAATGCTTTTAGAGGTACTCGACCCAATGGGGGTGGAAAGGCATTGATTTTTCTGTTGGAGCCGGTGCTGTCATTTGGCAAGATGGTGCTCCATAAGTGAAGCAAGTTTCTCATGATAACAGCCTTGGCCTCTCACTGACCTGTGAAGTGTGTCTGTTAAGGAGGCACTGGTTATTTAGCAACCAGGATCAAAAGCATTATAGTCTCTTCACCTTAATTCCAGGTAGTTTTTCTTTTTTGTTTGGCCATATTTCAGGTGGACAGACTGACAGTGGTAAAAGTGACACTTAAATAAGAGAGCGGCCACATATTAAAGGAAAAACCTGAATAAAAGGTTGATCTCTTCAAGGATGACAGTGCTCCCAACCTTGGGCACGAGGGGTCACTGAATGGTTTGATTACTATAAATATGAAGTGAATCATATCGTATAGCCTTCACAATCACTAGATCTCCCTGGTGTACTATTCACGTTTAGTTTACACTGGTGGTGTTCGCAGGTGTGCTGCACCCGCATCATCTTTTGGCTTTGTAACTCAACATAATCAAAGAATGTTAATCTAAAACAATGTAATAATCAACAGATGTTTACATTTGCCCTTTACCTTTGTTAGATTACATTACACCACTGTATTGTGCTAATTTTTTGTTAGACGATTGGAAAAAACGCAACAAATTTACAAATGAAGCAAGATTTTTCACAACTGCTGATTTTTATTTGAACCACAGTAATTTCAAACATTCAGGACAGTTTCCACAGCACAAGCTGAACACACAGTAACCATTTTGGTCTACACAACATAGCCCCATTGAACATAGACAAACCTATACATCACATGATCTGTGGTTTTTGGCCACAGATTTTCCCATCCCTGTGCAGTGTACTCATCAGAACAACATTCTTTCCTTTCTTTGACACATAGGACACCAGGGACATGTCAGCCATGTACACAAACTTGGAAGACTTCACAGGCCTGTCCTTTGTAATCAATAGTGGAGGTGGGAGCTCAGACTTGTTTTTGCAAATAGTTCCCACCATGGTCAGCTTCCTCTTCAGGAGCTCCTGTCCCAGCTTGTGCGAGGTAAAAAAAAAAAAAATTGTTGCACGTGATATTGTGTCCACTGAGCTTCTGAGTCAGGTCCAGGACAACTCTCATCCCTTGATTTAGCAGACTTGAGTGTAAACTCATGTGAACTAACACAAAAGCAGTGTGCGGCCACTGAAAATGTGTTCTGATATATGTTCTTCACACAAAATGAGCCGAGTGCAGATTTCTGGGCTATACATGTGTGTTTGCCTTTGTGTGTCAGTGTGTACATGACCCCCTGCCTGCATGGATGCATGAATGTGTGAGCACATTTTGTCACAGCCATTGTCAGGTGTAATTTGGTGTTTACACTCTGTGCATTTGTGAGTGGCCAAGTGTTGTTTATGTCAAAAATGGAGGAAGGCTGTTGTTGCTGCTGTTGTTGAGAAGTTCCTAAACTTTAGTTTATGAAATAAGGTGCTTATCTGTCTAGATGTGCCTCACTCTGCTTAGCAAGCTCCACTTACTCTTTGTACTTCTTACATTTTACTGTTTTGGAAGGGTCAGTTATCATGTTTTAATGACAAATAGCTTCATCTCCATCTAATAAAACTGCATGTTTCTGTACACAGGTATGCCTACAAAAGGTGTTGGCACAAACAGTTTTTTAGTCTTTCTACTTATTAAAAACATAACCTAAAGTAGTAGTGCATTAAGTTTGACGAAAACTCAGCTGTTTGTTTGCTGTGGCAAAACATGAAATTTGCTCAAACTACTGCATATACTGTATGTGGTATTCTTTCAGCCAGCTGGGGGCATCTATTTTACATGATTTACCATCTGTTAGATTGATGTACAGTATATTAGACAAGTACAGGACTGTACCAAGTAAATATGATTTAAAGTACTTCTTAAATAAAAACAACAGCCCATGTTGTTATGAGTAACTGCAAAATAAAGGGATTTGGTTCTAGAACCCAACAGTAACTGACCAGTTGGGTCACAGTTCACTCTGAACCAACTGTTGAACACAAAATTGTCTTCAAACCCCAAATGAACAACGAAATGATGGCTTCAAAACAGTCAAGCTCTGTATACAACGATCTCCGCCTGGAGGGGAAATTGATGGATGCAGTAATCCGAGTTGAGGGTGTGGAATTTAACATCCATAAGATTATTCTCTGCAACTGCAGCCCGTATTTCCGGTAAGTTGTTTGTCTGATATTACAGGGAAGCTAATGAATTTATACCCCTTCAATTAGCAGAAAAACAAATAAGTTTGCTCTAATTAGTAGTCTGAGTCTAAAAACAAGTTGATGTTGAGATGTGATGGACAAAAGAAAGAAAATACATCACATATTTTAACAGTCAAAAGACTACCAGAAAAGTAGTTGCATTTGAAATGATTTTTGTCCAACAATTCAATACACACAGGAAATGGCAGAGCTGTTCACAGCTGTAAAAACCTGAAATACATTGTGGATGGTGGTGACAAAGTTCAAAAAGAAAAAAAGGAAAAATCTAAATTTTAATAATGAATAATTGTGAAGTAAAAAGACCTTACTGCAAATTATACAATGAATGATGTGTGGCACAGAAAGTATTTTATCATTTCTAGTTAATTCAAGAGTAAAGAACATGTATAGTATGCTTCAAAGTTTAGCACATTATATGAGGAAACAGTATGGGCTTGATTTTTACCATAGTCTGATAATCAGCTTGGACTTAACAATAGTTAAGATGATACAAACAAAGAAAATCCATTAAGTTCATTTCAGATACTAATTCTTCTCTTTATTTCATGACTTAGGTTACAGTTTGGGAAACTCCACAAGGCCCTAAATGTCCCCAGACTATAAGACTAAAATGATAGTTTATGCCTTAGGAGTGTGTTGTGTCTACAGCTTTGTGTACACTCAGAAAGAACTTTCCTTTTCACTCTCACATCTTCTTGAAAAGTGCCAAAAAAGTTTCTATTATTAATTCAGATCTCTGCTGTGCCTCTCTCCTAACCCTCAGAGCTCTCTTCACACGCTGCTCGGACCCAGAGAGGAAAGTCTTTAACATCCCTGGCCTTTCTCCTCACACAATGC